TCGCTGGCTAGGCGCCACTGCCGCCTGTGCAGCTCTCTTCAGAGGTTGGTTCAGGGCGGCGCTGATCGCCTTGGCCCCCGTGTTGCGCAGCGAAAGCGGGCGCGTGCATCCAGGGGCTCTCGAGACGCTCACCATGTCGGCCATTGCCGATCCCTTCGGCAGGAAGATACTGATCGCGTGGTTGTAGTCTGAGCGCATGGGCAGGCCGTCCAGCATCCACACAAGGGCGCGGTGGAGGGCCTCCGCGCCGCCGGCCGCGATAGCCCATGCGGCGGCTGGGAGCAGGGCCAGGGGCTGCTGGGCGCGCACGGCGGAGCGCCTCCCGCGCCGTCGCCACAGTGGGTGGGCGGTGGGTGTCCCAGTCGACTGCGGGGACCCCGAAGCGCTTCAGGTAGGCTGGCTGCTCTCGGGCTCTCTTCCTGGAGAGTGCGGCGGGTGTCGGCGGGCAGAATACCTTGCCCCAGTGCTGGCCCAGCGCTGCGTTGATGTCTGTGGTCTCGATCAGCTCGGTCCCGTCCATCTCGAGGCACGCGAGGTAGCGCCGAGCGTTGAAGGGGGCCCAAAGCCGCGCCCTCCGCTTCAGAGCTCGCTGCTGGGCCATGAGCTGGCGCCTGCGACATTCAGCAGGCTCATGCTGGACCGCTTCCTCGAGGACTCGACGCCTGCTCGCTGCGTCCTTCCGCTGGGCGATGTTGTATCTCCTCTGGAGCTCGCCGTAGTCGAGGATCTCGACCGATCGGGACAGCTCGGAGACCCTTATCAGCTCCCGTGCCCAGGCGTTCTGAGATACCACCAACTGCGCCAGCCTCCAGTCTTGGCGCCAGAACGCCCTCGCCATCTGTCGCCAGATGATGGCGGTGGCCCCCTTGGTCCAGCCCTCAGCGACGAGGATCTCATTCTGGACGTCCCTAGCCGCCGCCTGCAAGATCCGCGTGAGGTACTTGTATTCGTCAGGTGGCTCTTGGTGCTGCAGGTGGACCATTGCCATGTACTCGTCAACAATCTCCTTGTAGCGCGGGCGCTGGACCACAGCGAGGGGGATGGCCGCTGGCGCGTCGTGGCGCCGGCGTCCAGGCGCTCGGCGTAGCAGCGAGACTGCGACCAAGGAGTGATCGCTAATCCCTCTGATGTGCAACTCACGTGCCTCGCCCCGCACGCGGCATGCTTGCCAGCCCTGGCATGGCTGCCATTGCGGTATCCCCACGAACACTCGGTCGATGGAGGAGCTGGTGCGTGTGCTGGCGTTCCAATGCGTTGGCTTGCCAGGCATCATTTCCGTTGCTGCCCGCAGCGCCTCCAGCCACTGCCGCTGGCCAGGATGGCGGGCCAGCCGAGCGGACTGGCAAGCCGCAGGCGCCGCCTGGGCACGACCGCCTTCACCACGGCGGGGACGCTCGGCCTGCGTCTGTGGTGGCTGGTCGGCGTCCAGGAAGGTGTCTGTCTCATCATAGTCGCCGAAGTTGAAGTCGCCCACGACGAAGGTGGACCGAGTGGCAGGGCAATGGTGTGCCCACGCCAGGTCCTGCCGAAGACGGTGCGCGACACGTCGCCGTTGCTCAGGTGAGATGTCGTGGTTGTGGATATTCCAGTGGACGAAGCTGCACTTTTGACTCCCCTGAGTCAAGGGACGAACTTCACCACTGAGCCTGAGGATGCGGCCTGGGACCATCTCCTCGGAAACAAAATCGCAGGCGTAGCCTTCCGCCGTAGCTGGCACCACCGTGGCTACACCTCCTGCATCTTCTCGGCCTCCCGACATGCACGAGGAGAAGCAGCAGAACGGTTTCCCCAAACGCTCCAGGAGTACCTGCATGCTATGCTCAGACGCATGCGTCTCCTGTAATGCCAGCACCATTGGCCCCTTCCAATGTCGCTGAATATAAGCAAGCTTCTTCTTGATCTTTTTGGTGGCATTCCTCCCAGACTGCTTGAGCGCCCGACAGTTCCAGGTCCCCAGATGCACACCATCGCCATCACCTCCCCATGCCCGTGAGAGAGTGTCAAAGCGTCCACTGCTGCGCCTCTGGCTCCAAGACGCGATCCACCACCGCCTGCAGGGCGTCTTGCGTCTGGCCGATAGCACGTACCGCCACCATGTTCCAAGAGACCGTCGGTGTAGCTCCTGGGGACGCGATGGGAAGCTTGAGCAGCTGGCGCCATTGGACCGTGATGGCGTTGGCCTCTTTGTCTGCAAAGAGGCGTGCGTCGATCGTCTCCTGGAGGGCGGACTTGATACGCTTGAGGTAGATCTCGTGGGAGATCTGGGACTGGTTGCGGTCGCGGCCAACACTGAGCTGGACGCTTGATCCGTTCGGTAGCATTGCCGCGAACTCTCTCCACGTCGACGGGCCAATACGCAAGAGGCCCACGAGCTTTCCCACGCGCCGTGAGGCCAAGCCCACAGCGCCCACGCAACGGAGCTTGAAATGCCTCCCCATCTCCTCGCCCTCCAGCTTTGTCGCCACCGGGTTGAGGTTGTGCAACTCTGCGTCCACCAGGAGCTGCTGCAGCGCCCTCTCGACCGCCTCCTTCGGGACGTTCGCACGCGCCACGATGGACAGGATGGTGGGGTCGATTGGCCTGGACCACCCCGTCTCCAGCATAGGGGCCTGAGGCGTGGCTGACGCCACGACGCCCATCTCTGATCGTAGATCGGCCATCTCCTGGCGAAGGCGGCCAAAGTCTGCCATCCGCTGCTCCATGCACCCCAGGCGCGAGTCCACCGCGGCGAAGCGGGCGTCGACGGCCTGGGCGAACTCCTGCTGGGTGGACTGGAAGATCTGCGAGAGGTTGCTGGTCGTAGTCTGGATCTGCGTGCCGAGGCGGCACTCCATGTTGGCGAGCATGCTGGAGAGGTTTGGTGTGCCAGGCGCGGCGGCTGACGCTCCTCCTGCTGCAGGCGGAGGGCCGAAGCGTTGAGCTGCTGCTGCCGCCCAGGCATCCTGCTCACCCTGCTGCTGTGACTGCTGCGATGCGAAGGTCGGCATGAGCTCGAGCGCCTCGACGTCACCCTCGGAGAGCACCAGGCCGCGCTGAGGTCCAGCAGCGGCTCCTCCCTCCGCGGGACCGCCCACGTGATTTCCCTGGGCGTTGTGCGGCGGAGTGGGGGGCACCACGTCCCAGCCAGACAGGCGTACGTCGTGCAGAGGGCGCGGGCGCGGGGTGGCCTCCGCGCTGGCGGCAGCCTGCTGTCGTCGCTCTCTGCGTCGTTCACCACGCCTGCGATGCTCACTGCGGGATGTGCTCCTGCTACCCACTGAGTCGGGCGAGGAGCTGCTGGTCTGCCTGCCGCCACCGCTGCCACCAGCACCGCCGTCACCCATCTGCGTGCCGCCCCTCGCTGGGCCCATGGCTTCGAGACTTGTAGCGATCGGGCCGACGGGAACGGGAAATGCCTCCGTTTACCCCTCGCCCCAAGCGCAGGTGCTGTGTTGGAGAGAGGATGCCAGACTTCAGGAAGTCTTGCCAGCCGCGGGCTAGCGGTATCCGCTTGGTTCCCAGGGGAAACCTGCATCTTGAGCCAAAATGGCTACGGATAGCGGAGGAGGAAGAGGAGGAGGAGGAGGAGGACGAGGAGGAGAGGGAGGAGAGGAAGGAAGAGGACAAACGAATGAACGACCACCTATCGGGACAGGCACCTATAAGGACAAACGAATGAACCACCACCTATCTTGGGCTGTATGTGCCCAGCTTACATTGGTGAGTTGCACATGTTCGGGGGTGTTCGCGGGAGGCGGGTGTAGTACGTCTTCATCGAAGGACGTTGTCGAGGTGATCGTTCCACCTCTTGGGCTGGCAAAGGACAAGAAGAAGGATGACGAGAACGAGGAGGACGCCTCCTGCTGGGAAAGGAGCGTTGGGTGTTGCGGGGTGGCTCCCGATACCCCTTGCTGTCCCTCTTGAGCTGTTCTTTTCCCTTGGGCGAAAAAGAACGAGAAACCGAGGGGGCCGAGTAGGCGATCAGAGACAGTAGAAGAAGAAAGGTGGGCGTACGTGGATCTCTCGGATGGGCGCTGGGGCCCCTCTCCCGCGCCAGGGCCCGCGACGGAGGCGTCGCCCTGGGGGTCCAGCGCGGACCCATGAGATACACGCGAACATCCGAACGTGCACGTGTATGCAAATGATTTTTCTTCGACTCCCTCCTCCGTCCTCCTCCTCTTCCTCCTTCTCCTCCTACTCCTACTCCTGCTCCTCGCTCCTCCTCCTCCTCCTCCTTCTCCTCCTCCTCCTTCCTTGTACATCCTCCCCTCCTCCTACTCCTCCTCCTCCACCTCCCTTTCCTGATCCTCCTCCTCCTCCTCATCACCATCATCATCATCACCACCACCACCACCACCACCACCATCATCATCATCATCATCGTCATCATCATCATCATCATCATCATCATCATCATCATCATCATCATCATCATCATCATCATCATCATCATCATCATCATCATCATCATCATCATCATCATCATCATCATCATCATCATCATCATCATCATCATCATCATCATCATCATCATCATCATCATCATCATCATCATCATCATCATCATCATCATCATCATCATCATCATCCTCATCCTCATCCTCATCATCATCATCATCCTCATCATCATCATCATCATCAATCATCATCATCATCATCATCATCATCATCATCAGCATCAGCATCAGCATCATCATCAGCATCATCAGCATCAGCATCAGCATCAGCATCAGCATCAGCATCATCATCATCATCATCATCAGCATCAGCATCAGCATCATCATCATCATCATCATCATCAGCATCAGCATCATCAGCATCAGCATCAGCATCATCATCATCATCATCATCATCATCATCATCATCATCATCATCATCATCATCATCCGATCCGATCCCCCCCTTTCCTCCTCCCCCTCCCACTTCTCCTCCTCCTCCTCCTCATCCTCCTCCTCCTTCCTCTTACCTCCTCCCTCCTCCTTCCTCGAAGGCCCCGTGCCCCCCCCCCCCGAGGTGGCGACGAACAGCTTCGCCTCTGGGGCGGTGTCCGAGCCGCCCAGCAGCCCGTCGGCGAGGGC